AATCTTCTTGACTGTCTTTTTGAGGTTTATGAAAATATTTTAACCGATTTATAGTATCTGGAGACAAAGAGACCTTTTCACAAGATATTACTCGAGATTTATTTTTACTATGAAATCGGTTAAGCCGAGACAATTCGGAGGAAAAGCGTGCGGCACGCGTTTTTACATCGGCTCTATGATTCCGTTTTTTTCTGAGAGCAAGCCAACATTTCGAGTTAACCATTTGTAAGGGGCGTGTTAATTATTTGAGGTGAATCTTAGATTAATGTAACATAATATATCATGTTAATTATAGTATAGTGAGAGTTAGAGAAATAATATTTTAAGAGGGGGAATATTAATAGTGGCAAAAGAGAATAATAATGGAGTTGAGCGCGTTGATTGAGGGATTTTATCGATTACGGATAAAAGTCCTTTATTAACATCAATACTAGATCCTGTACGTTTTATAAGATTCTGAATTTTAATTTAAAGGGAAGGTCTAAGGTGTAGAAAAGGGTCAATCTAGGGTATACTTCGATGCTCGATAGACGATAAATGTTTAGGGCACGGTATGTGCTCAGTAGACGAAGGATGTCTAGGGCACGGTATGTGCTCGGTAGACGAAGGATATCTAGGGCACGGTATGTGCTCGGTAGACAAAGGATGTCTAGGGCACGGTATGTGCTCAGTAGACGAAGGATGTCTAGGGCACGGTATGTGCTCGGTAGACGAAGGATGTCTAGGGCACGGTATGTGCTCGGTAGACGAAGGATGTCTAGGGCACGGTATGTGCTCGGTAGACGAAGGATATCTAGGGCACGGTATGTGCTCGGTAGACAAAGGATGTCTAGGGCACGGTATGTGCTCGGTAGATGAAGGATGTCTAGGGCACGGTATGTGCTCGGTAGACGAAGGATGTCTAGGGCACGGTATGTGCTCGGTAGACGAAGGATGTCTAGGGCACGGTATGTGCTCGGTAGACGAAGGATGCCTACCCATACAGCACCGCAAGATTGTAACAACATTGCAGCAACATTTTTCTGCAAGATTGCAACATTGAAGAATCATTGCAAAATATTGCTGCAATGTTGTTATGATATTGCAGCAACAATAAAATGTCCGCCTACATAATTAAATTTTGAATAATATTGAAAGTTGATAATTATTAGCAAGGAATGTAAGAAAAATGTTTTAACAAATTATTATTGCGCGCATTTTACGATTCCATAAAGAGTGGTGTTTATATTCCTTATTTTATTTATTTTAATCCTATTCTTTGTATTTATTATATATTCATGTATATAGTTAATTAGAATCTTAAAGATGAAGTACTAGTATCGCTGATTATATTAAAACTCAATCGCGGATCTATTTTTAAAGTAACCGCTGGTCAGTTCTAGAAAGTTACTACTGCGCAGCTGCCTAGTTCTAAATAAAGCCTTCTGATTGGTCGGTCCAAGGAACCTATAATTCCTTGCGCAATCGATTATTATTACTAAAAGAACTAGAATATAGCTAATTTCTACGTTAAATAACCATATAGAACTAGAACAATAAACAATTAGTAAAATTGATTAATAATGGAAATAAGGGCAAATGGTTAAATAATTGTTCTATATTCCATAGGCATAATGCAGTAATAGATGCGGTACTTAATTATTAGTTGAAATATGGTTTTGAAAAATGACGGGACGTCACACAGCCATATTGAAACAATTTGTGCCTGCATAAATCAGCCTTAAGCTACGCTGCAAATTCCGTATGGTTGAAATTCTTAAGTCTTAAGTCTAATGGTCCTCGCACACTGGACGCAATGAGCGATGAACAATGGGCGATATCCAATGAGAGCTCTGCTTTTCCGAAAAAATAAAGCTCTCATTGGATATCGCCCATCGTTCATCGCTCATCGTGTCCAGTGTGCGACGGCCATTACTGCTTAAGTTTTTCTATGTGCCACTGCCCTTAAGCCCGTATTAGACTACGCATTGAAAATTGAAGATTGAAGATTAAAGATTGGAATTTGACT